AGTTAACACCATATTAACCACTCTCCTCACTGTTCATTACTTTTATGGTAAATCTAACCGTGGAGAGCAATGAGGGGCCTGTTTGATATTTATAAATGAAATCTAATAAATTAATTAAATTTAAAAATATTTTTCTCTTTCCTCATATAGAATTTTGACGTTGAAAAAATATTGTTGAAAATTACTACTATTTAAATTAACAGTGATGTCACTAAGATGTTAAGTGATTTTATTATCATTAATATTACAGGAAAGTGCACCTTCAATCACGGGATTTGCCGTGACGAAATAACCAATTCCCGTTACTGAATCCATTCGTCACGGGTGTTTCCTATAACAAGCATGTCCGTGATTGAATGTCAATTGTCATGGGAAATCTTGTGGCTAGAAATATAGATTACAGGAAAATCCCATAATAAAATATTTGTTTTGGCATGATAATTCCCATGACTAAGTATTAGACACGGGAAATTCCCGTGTCTGAAATAGAAAATAGTCATGGTACATCCCATGACTAATTAATATATTTGTCTCGGGTTTTCGTTTGATAGTAACGGGAAAATCCGTGATGGTTAGTTCTTACTGATCAGGGCAAAATCCACTGATAAATAATAGTTACTTGTCACAAGAAAATCCTGTTATTGTTATTAAGCAGTAGTCACGGGAAGTATGACGACTAGTCACAAGAGATATTGTGATTGATATTAGCTAAAAATAACATAAAAGTTCTATTATAATAGTTCAGAGAGAAATCTCACTTGAAACAATTAGGAAGTCTTGGCAATCTACATATCATTTACTCGCCGACGTTAATATACAATTAAGAAATCTAATTCTTGAAGCGTTTTAGTCACATTGTACCTATATAATCACATTGCACCTATCTAATTGATGATATCACAAATATCAATGCTTCAACAAAATAACCAGAGTAGTTTCGTTCTTATAACTAAAATTACTATTGCAGTCCATAACGTGCAAGGTCGACCTACTCTTGTTATGCTTCACCTTGGTTTCAGCCAGCCAACTTGTGTTGCACTTCTGCGTTAGCAAAGAGATTACAACGATGAAATTCACTTAACAACACTACAAAAAATGTACCAAAATCTTACATAGAAACACAATATGCTCCGAGAGCTAAACAATGCTTCATGGAAACTTTCCAATCAACCGACCAATCTCTACTTTTTGCCATTTATCCCTATGGTATGCACTACTATGACAAACAAACTTAAGCAAATATACTGTAACTCTTATGAGACTGCAAAGGCTTCACATTAGGCTCAACAATAGGTAGCTATTCGGATCATTGTTATGCATCCTCCAGCATTTGACCAAAAATTGATATAGTGCGTTCACTATCACAACCAATAATTCTAGAGCCAATAAAAAGAAATCAACTCTATCCAAACAATGACAAAACAACCACTCAATAATAGGCCACAAATTGAGTGTTCCATATCTACTTTTTAAAGTAACACCACTGTACAATAAACAGCAAAGCAGCAACTCTATAAAGATCATTAATATAGTGTTCTAAAAATGACTTCCTAAGTAGCAATACTCTCCAAACAAGAAAAATACAGCAACTCAATAAAAGGATAGGAATTTTCCCCCCCCGGTAATTATAGGCCTTTTCATTAAGCACCGCCTGGAAAACCAGGATCCCCAAAAAACTCAGGAGCAACAGACATGCTCCACTGATCCTTTTTACAAAAGCAAACAAGAATCAACTAGCCTAACTATCAAAATGTTAGTAGACTGCTGAAATATTCGAGTGCAGCGCTCCTTCCAAATGACGCTGAGACACCAGCACCACATTGCACTATGCACCAGCCCTTTAGCTCCTTTCTTGCCTGTTCTGCATATCCAGTGTAATAGACGCTCCTGCGAGCTTGGCCAGAGACGCAAGCCGAAAATAGCTTTAAAAATCTGCAAAGAAAAGGGGCAATTGCAGAACAGATACATTTTGCTTTCCTCTTCTCTATCACATAACACACACATCGCATTAGTCACTTTCCCCCATTGCCTCAACTTATCCAATGTATTAATTCTGTTCAGAATTATCAACCATGTAAGCACCCTATTCTTTGGAATCACAAACTTATTCCAAATCACTTGCCACCATTCAACTTTCAGGTGTTTGGGTCTTATGGAGTTCCATACCTGCTGGATAGAGAATCGTGCCATTACCTTTCCTTCCCAAGTCACCTCGCCTGCAGCATTAGTAGCAAACCTAAACTGGAACCAACCTCGAATAGCCAATAGCTTCCGCCAAATCCACGACCCTGTCTGAGAAGAAGATAGGTCCCAAACTGATCTCCCCCTCAGCATGTACCGCTGAATCCACGCCACCCAGAAACTCCCACTTTGCATCAGTAGCATCCATAACAGTCTTGCAATACACGCCACATTCCAACTGCCTAAATCTCTTAGCCCCATTCCTCCCTCTTTCTTTGGAACTGCCACAGAATCCCAAGCCACTTTAGCTCGACCAATCCCCTCACCAAACCACAGAAAGTCTGAGTAGATTTTATGAATCTTATCTAATACCTTCTTTGGCAAAATAAAATTGTTCATCCAAAATTGAACTAAAGAATAAAGCACAAATGATACGAGTTGAAGTTTGCCTGCATATGAGAGTTTGTTAGCATGCCATGACCTTATTCTAGCCGTGATCTTATCCACCAGCACCTCACACTCTCTGCTTGTTAGCTGTCCCGAAACAAGTGGAAGACCCAAATATCGAACAAGCAATTTCCCTTCCGCAAAACCAGACAAAGAGAGTGCATTTTCTTTAAATTGAGTAGCTGTGCCCCCAAAAAATACCTCACACTTCTTTGGATTACAACTCAGACCCGACAGAGAGCTGAATTTATTCAAAATCTCTTGAACCTTAAGTAATGCTACGGCAGATCCCTCAGTGAAGATCAATAGATCATCTGCAAAGCACAAATGAGTGAGGTCTATTGATCTACACTGAGGGTGGTATGGAATCTGCTTTGTCTGTGCAGCACTATCAAGCATTCCAGATAGGGGTTCAAGTGCAATAGCAAAGAGATAGGGGGAGAGGGGATCTCCCTGCCTAACCCCTTTCTGAGCTTTGAAAAATCCAAACAAGGAACCATAGAGACTGATGCTGAAATGAGCGGAGCTTAGACACACCCGGATCCAATCCATAAAATCAGCAGGGAATTGCATAATGGACATCACACATAATAGGTATTCCTAGTGTACTGAATCAAATGCCTTATATAAATCTATCTTAATGGCACAACGAGATGCTATAGTTTTCTTTGGGTAGTTGTGAACTATCTCCTGAGCCATCAAGATATTATCAAGAATACTTCTCCCTTTAATAAACGCAAATTGATTCTTACTTATAACTTCAAGCAAAGCTATATGTATTCTGTTTGCCAGAACCTTTGCAATTATTTAGTATATCACATTAATGCATGCAATTGGTCTAAAGGCAGTTAACTTATCAGCATTAGGTATCTTTGGTGCTAAGGTGAGAGAAGCTGTGTTAATACCTCTTGGTAGCTGCTTTGTTCTAAAGAACTCCTTAACTCTAGCACAAATGTCCTCTCCAATCAACCCCCAGTGCTTCTGATAGAATCCCATTGTCCATCCATCAGGGCCAGGAGCCTTCAATGGATCCATAGCAAATAAAGCCATCCTTATTTCTTCATTTATCACCTCTGCGCAGAGTTTGACCTTATTAGACTCACTAATGTATCTCTTAATATATTCAGTAATAACAGCACCATCCGGTCGAACTGTAGGATTGATCACTCCATAAAGTGCCTGATAGAAATGAACCGCTTCTGAAGCTATCTCTTCCTCATTAGTGATCTCCCTTCCTGCTTCACCAATCATCTTTCTTAATTGCTTCCGAGCTTGTCTCATCTTTACTGACTTATGAAAAAATCCAGAGTTCATATCCCCCAAAACAAGATATTGTATGCGAGACCTTTGTTTGTAAAAACTCTCCTCAGCCAGCCTCAGTCTACTCAGCTCACAAGTAAGCTCAAGAACTCTATCAAAAGTAGAAGTGGAAGGAGTCTCCCTCGCTTGAGTCTGTGCTTCCTTAAGGTTGCTATTTGCCTCCTTGACCCTTCCCGAAATGTCAAAGAAGTGTTCTTTATTGAGCTTCTTGAGTTCCAGTTTCAGCAATTTGAATTTTTCCTTTTTTGTCTGTATTGCCGTCCCAGAAAATCTCCGACTCCAGATATCCTTCAGGATCCCCTCATAAGAAGGGTGTTGAGTCCACATATCATAGAACCTAAAAGGCTTAGGAAAGCTCTTCCTTGGGATGCAAGGCCTAATCAACATTCCACTATGATCTGAAAAGGATGGAGGAAGAAATTCTGCTATACAATCTGGCAGTCTATCTAACCAGTCTTCATTCACCAGAATACGATCAAGCTTTCGAGCTATTGGATTAGCTCTCTGCTGATTTATCCAAGTGAAGAAAGTGCATGATGCATGATGATCCACTAGTTCCATATATCTTAACCATTCACGAAAAGTAGTCATACTAGTGGAAATTGAAACTTTAGTTGATGCCTCAAGAAGGTTGATATTCGCATTAAAATCACCGCAAACCAACCAAGGGAAAGCCTTAACTTTCCATTTACTCAATCTAGCATAAGTTGCTGCTCTCTCTGCCTCATCATTTGATGCATAAATCACTGTCATGAAAAACTGCTTCTGTTGTGAGATAGAAACCAGAGCATGGATAAAATTTCTATCAGTAGCCAAGATTCTGAGCTTGACTTCATCTCTCCAGGCCAACCACACTCTACCCAAAGGACTGAACTCATAATTATCCCTGAATGTAAAGTCTTTGAACTTCTCCTTTATTTTCTCTACTTTATCAACTTTTATTCTTGTTTCCAGTACTGCAAACACCTTTATTTTATATATACCTATGTATTCAAGCATGGAATCATGCTTGGGAGAGGAATTAAATCCTCTCGCATTCCAAGCTAAGATTGTCATTTAGAGGGAGGTGGAGCCTTGTTAGCTCCCTTCTGACTACGAAGGCCCTCTCTTCTCAGCGGGGGAAATTGCAATTGCACCTCTTTAGAGCATAGAATCTCAAAAGAGTTAGAATGACTAACCATCTCAGTTGTTTTCCAGACTTGAGGCTGTTTGGCACCGTTGATGACTTTGCTAAAGTCTTCTTGAGTCAGTAGAGCACTTGGTGTAACAGATTCAGCAAATTCCAGTTGCTGCTCAGAGTTCGACACATCCTGCAGCGAAGACTCTTCCTCCATCCCAATCTGAACCTTCTCAACATGAATTTTCTTCTTCCTCCATATCCTTTTCGTTGGCCTCGTAGGCTTAGAAAAATCATGACCAAAAATTCCACAGGAGTGACAGCAAGGTGGCAAACGCCCATATTCAACCCCTATATACAATACTTCCATCCCATCTGGGGTGATACTTGTTAGAATATGACTTGAATTTGATTTGGGTTTGTTTTGTGTTTGGGCCTATTTTGTTTGGGTTTGTGTTTGGGATTTGTTTGACCTTTTTCTTGTATGTTTGGGAAAAGGTGTTTGGTTTTCTGTTTGGGATTAGGAGAAGAGTTCTATAAATACTCTTCATCACCCTAGTCTGTAGTAAGGTCAGTCAGGTTAGTTTGTTTGGTTTGTCCGTTTGGAATTTGGTTTGTAACCTGTACTCTCCTCAAAATCAGTGAAATTTGTTCTCCCTTGCCCGTGGATTAGCTAGCACACATTGTGTTAGTGAACCACGTTAAATTTGTGTTCGTTCGTGTTGGTTTGGATTATCGATTGCACGCTTCTGTTCTGACAAGTGGTATCAGAGCCTGGTTGATCTTTGGGTTTTTTGAAACTGTTTTGGCAAATTTTTGGGATCACGCTGCTGGTTGAGCTTGGCGTATTTGAAAGTATATTCGTCGCCTCTGAACTGACGTTGCAGTTGGCGGATCTGTTTGTCTTTCCGGCTTTGATTTGGGTAAATATCTCCTGGACTTGAGAATTTCTGTTGGTGACATCGCAATTTGTTTATATCTCTCGTCCTTGGAAGATTGGTCTCTAAATTGGATATCAGAATTGGAACGCGTTGTCGTTTGTTGTTTGGGAAGCAGCTTGTATTTTGGAACAAGTTAATTGTGTGCTCCTGAATTAGCTTTGGAATTATTGAGTTGCTGCGCTACGTTGGTTTTTTTTGTTTTGAAGCTGGAAAGTTTGTGGTGTTTACTAATAGCAATTGGGGCTGCAATTTTTGATTGGACGACACATGGTAGCAATTGGGAGTATTGGAAGCTAATTTTTATTAGTTTACTGGTGTTCGTTAATTTTTTGTTTGGCGGCAATTTGGTATTGGGTGGTGATTCCAATATTTCACCAGTTTAGAGTTGCATCGTTTGGTTTGTTGAGAAGAAAATTTGGGAATTTGGAATTTGCGGCAAGGAGCTAGTTGGCGAATCAATTGGAATTTGAAAGCAATTACTTGAATTTATAGTGTATAGTAATAGCTTGTGGTTTGGGGAGAATTCTGTTTGTTGTCCTTGGTGGTGATCAAGGTTTTCGATCACCAAGGATGTTTGTTATGGATTTGAAGATCGGGAAGTCAATTTGGAGCTGCAAGTTTGGAATTAGAGATACATTTGATATTGGTGTTATGGATGGAAATAACACCAAGCTGGTTCTGCATGGCAAGTCTCAACATGAGTTGGACTTGTTGCATGTTTTGATTTGTTAACCGCCCTTAGGGGGCATTTGGAGGCAGGGGAGGTTCTGGTACAACTGGTTTGGAGGAGATTTTGTCACATTTGGGGATTTGGAGAGTTTGTTATATCTGGCATTTGGCGGTTTCGATCGCATTTGGATAAGTCTGGCGATATGTATCGCTTCTGGGTACATCTGGCAACTTTGGTTGCGTTTAGTACATATGGTATTTGAGAGAGAATTCAAGTCAAGGTGGAGATTGTTAGAATATGACTTGAATTTGATTTGGGTTTGTTTTGTGTTTTGGCCTATTTTGTTTGGGTTTGTGTTTGGGATTTGTTTGACCTTTTCCTTGTATGTTTGGGAAAAGGTGTTTGGTTTTCTGTTTGGGATTAGGAGAAGAGTTCTATAAATACTCTTCATCACCCTAGTCTGTAGTAAGGTCAGTCAGGTTAGTTTGTTTGGTTTGTCCGTTTGGAATTTGGTTTGTAACCTGTACTCTCCTCAAAATCAGTGAAATTTGTTCTCCCTTACCCATGGATTAGCTAGCAGACATTGTGTTAGTGAACCACGTTAAATTTGTGTTCGTTCGTGTTGGTTTGGATTATCGATTGCACGCTTCTGTTCTGAAAATAATGATTTTGTCAACTAGGTTCTTCTTTGCACTTACCTCAACACAGATCTTAGCACACCCCACTCTCATCTTCTGCGTCGTCGGTTGATCCATACAAAGTGGCTTTCCAATTCCACTCGCCACTCGACCTAATCCTTCCTTCGAAGAAATTTCAGCTGGCAGCCCTGAGAGCTTCACCCAAACCGGTACAACTGTGTTATCAATTTCCAAAGCTCGTATGCCAGGAACCAAGCGACGCATACACAGAAGATTATTGCGGTAATGCCACGGCCCGCCTTCAAAAACCCATTGGCACACTACCTGCGATGGAAATTTGAATAGCACCAATCGATCTTCCAGCCAAGACACTTTCACTTCTCCCTCTTTACCCCAAAGCCAATTTGCCCAAAATTTCAGAGTTGCCAGCGACGGCGGAGAGGCTAGAAATTGACCTACCAGACTGTTCTCCCACTGGCGAGCCCCCTCGTCCATCACCGACTTTGGAATTCGAATAGATCCATTTATCACTTCCGGTTCAAAGTATTCCAATCTAGTATCCTCAGATGCCCCGAAGAGCGAAGCCCACGATCGGCCGTCACCAACGACACCCGACGAGGCTCCGTCAGCGACGACCGCCATTCTCAGATTTTTTGCAAACCCTAACCTGAATGTGAGAGCGTTTTTTTTCTTCTTCATGATAGGAATTCAGTGTTCTCTATCCAAACAACAAAAACACAGCAGCTCATCAAACAACCATAAATTGAGTGTTCTAATATTACTTTCATGAGCAACTACACTCTCCAACAACAACAAAAATGACAGCTCAATAAATAGCAAAGAATTCATCGTTCTGAAACTGTTTTCATAGGCAACCTCTTCAGACAACAAAAAAAAACAGCTCAATATAATGATATAAATTCATTGTTCATCACAACTAGTCATCATCATTTCTCTGGGTGGATGATGACATGTAGTCTATATCCAATCAACAATAAACAACAACTCAATAAACATATAGGAATTCAGTGTTCTAAAGTTGTTGAGGAACAAGAATACGTACCTAATGTTGTCTATTTTGACTACTGTCGAACATCTCTTGTAACTTCTTCATTTCACCCTTCAGATTGGCCATCTCTTCAACTTGTTCAGCAACAATACCCTTCAATTCGATGACAGACCGTTGAAGAGCTTCCGTTTCTTCATCTAACCGTCTCAATTGGGCTTCCAAATTCGCATCCGTTGCATCCTTTGTGGAAGTTGAGCTCTTTAAATCCTTAGGCCTCAAGCCACCTCCAAAATAAATCACATGACCACGCTTTTGTTCTAATGTTGCTTCTACCACTTCAAGTGCAGTGAAGTCCGGATTGGCTTCCATTATCTCAAGTATTTTAGCCTAATCAAGAACACACCACAGTTAAAATAGTCAAGCAACCTAAGTGATTAAAGGCACGAATTGTGAATAAAAGTTACATGTCTTTCATTTGCTGCATCATCTTTTATCATGTTTCCTTCTTTATAGGTCTCAAACACTAGCTCAACTATAGTTGAAGGTCTGCCCAACTTCTCTTCCTAGAATAGAAACAAACAATTTTGGCAGCATGCTGTCTTCGTATTCCTACTATAATTATGTTACTTTTGTTCATTAACGTCGATGGGGTAAGGAACACCGACGTTGTGCAAGGAACAAGGAGGCTGGCAATGGGGAAGGAACTATACGTGGGGAGTATCTGATTTTGAGCTAGGGATTTTGGGAAGCCAAAATGAGAAAGAGAAACCAACTGCACTTTTCTTTTGTTTTAATTTTTAATTAATGATTTTGGCCTTTTGGTTTCATCTGTCACGAGAACCTCTCATTCTATCATTATGGGCTGATACCCCATTATAAATTAAGATTGTCCATCTCAATTAATTATGAGAATTATTCCCCGTGACAACATTTAAATCTTTAGCAATGGAAAAATCCCACAATTAAAATCTCGTGATGAAAGATCAATTTTCTTGTAGTGTTAGTTGCATTTTTAATTAGTAATTATTGGCAAAAGTTAAGAAAAACACTACTTCAAATGAAGAAAATACTACAAATTAACAAATAATACTATAACTATGCAAAATATTACAAACAATTACCGAATATAAATACTATTTACAATAAAAACACTATTAATACATATTACATCATTACTACACAAACACTACTACCCAAAATAAATAACAACTAAATAGAAATAATATTGGCGCTAATCCCATTTCCACACCCAAGCAACACTATTGTTGCCTTTTGGATATAGAATTCTATCAGCTCTGCCACTTTCCTAGGTTTGTGTTTCCCCATACAAAAATCAGCTTATAACACATCGATTAATTACAAGCGGATTAATAGATTTATAAGGCCAGATCAACATTAATAATTAAAAGAGCTAGTTAGGCCTTATTGGGTTGGGTTTTGGGGCATAAGTGGCCAAACCCCTTCTTCTTTATACGATGGCCGACCCGGCTCCGTGGCCCCCATAGCCGGACGATGCCTCCACCCCTTGGTATGAGATTTGGCTCCCAAAAACTAAGTCTGGAAACAAGGCGACACAACAGGGTGCCAAACGACCGGGTACCAAGCCAGATACCAAATAAGAGGTCATCCAAAAACTAAGTCTGGAAACAAGGCGGCACAACGAGGTGCCGAATGACCAGGTAACAAGTAAGGGGGTCAACGACGCGGTATCAAGCCGGCAAGGCAGGGCTTGGTACTATGACATAGAATTTGGCTAAGTATAGGGCCAAGAGGATACCATGCCGGCAAGTCAGGCTTGATACCAAAATATATGAAAATTGGCTAAGTACGAAGCCAACGAGGTACCAAGCCGGCAAGACAGGCTTGGTAGCCAGGCAATAGGGTACCAGGCAGGCAAGACGACCTTGGTACTACTACAAGGCAGACTTGCTAGCAAAAGACAAAATTGGCTAAGTATGGAATCACATGGCCAGGGGGGCCATACGGCACGATGCTATACCACCAATAGCAAAGAGGGGACCAAACCGGCAAGGCATGGTTTGGTACCAAGACATGAAAAGCATGAATTTAGCTTAGTATGGAGCTAAGTGGGTACTAGGTCGGCAAGGCAACCTCAGTACGAAGAACCCTATAAGGTACTAAGTCGGCAAGACAAGCTTGGTAGCCAAGCAAGGAGACAGGGTACCATGCATGGTCCATGAAACCGTACTGGACACCGTACCAGAAAAGTCAGCGGTAGGGTATTTTATAGCAAAATCATGGTTTAACCGTTAGTACCGTTAAATACCGCATACCGATTTAGCCTCTGATAATGGTATTTTGTGATTGAACCGCCGGTACGATACGGTTTCATGGACCATGGTACCATGACCCCAAGGGGGTATCAAGCCGGCAAAACTGACTTTATGGCCAGGCAACAGGGGGCCAAGCCAGGTACCAACTAAGAGAGTCATAAAGAAACTAAGTCTGGATATGAAGCCGACAAGACGGACTTGATAGCCATACATCGGGTATCAAGCCAACAAGACAATAAATTTGACTAAGGCAGGGCAGCTAGCTGAGGTATCAAACAACCATGGATAGATCGGCCAGAATGCCGAGCTAAGGGTGTCCATATGACAAGGACTTGTAGAGCCCCTCAGGGGGCCATATGGAGACTAAGTCCCAAGATGGGCAAGATGGCCCCCTAACGGGCGACCAAGCTCGCCGGGTGCAAGATACCAAGATGAGATTCTAAAAAATAAGTATGGAGATCAGACCGACAGGGTCGGCTTGGTAGGAGGGTGTATCAAGTCGACAAGACGAGCTTGATACCAAGATAACAAGTGGTCTCATGACAGTCTCTGTAAGACTGAGTGTGGAAACTTGGTGGGTAAAGGGGCCAAGTTCTCATCTTGTCTAGGTGGGTAATATGGCCTAGCTATCAAGACGGTTCGTCGAGGTGGCTACCAAGATGAGGAATGTGGAGTCGTCAAGGCTATCGAGGATGTGATCAAGACTTCATCATGGAGGCTAAGACAAAGAGACTCAACACCAACCCGGCCCGGCATCGAGACCATAAAGTGCTCACCAGCCTCAAGGCAGGACAAGGGCCCTCAAGGCGACGGTTACCAACTTGTCACCAAGGCGGGATAAGGGACCCCGAGGCGGTTTGGAGCAAGAGGCCAGCTAGCAGTTACTACGGTGGTTACCAAGGCAGTTACACCCGATGGCTATAAATAGGAGAAACGAAGACGAGAAAAGGGTCCACAACCAAACATTTGGCACCACATGTCAAACTTATCTTTTCTCTGCAATGTAGCCATAGTTGTGGCTTTTAGTTTTTGGAGCTCTCACTGAACCTCCATCGGAGTAGAAGTAATTTAACTTAGTTTTATCAGCCATTATAATCATCAAACACCCTCGTTCGAACATTGTTCGGAGAGGTGTGAACCGTGTTATTAATCGTTGTTCGAGAAGTCAATGTGCATTCATTGTGTTCAAACACAAGTTTTTCCTCGCCGGAAAATAGTTTGAAACCCTAGCACTGTCGAAACTTCCCCAACGATCATAGCATATCCATGCGGTTCCCATAGTGATAGCAGATCTGGCCGGCGAAGCATACTAATGATGATAGCAAAAATAGGAGACATGACGTACGTCGGTCAGAAAGATGCGATGAAGTGATTTTCTTAAGCAGATCTGGCACCTATGGAACGCACGTTGTTGTCGTCGTGGCTCCAGCTTCCGCTGCTTACCCTCCCGCTTTCGCCTAGGCGAGTCTTGGATATGAAGCTCACTCGACTGCGGTTGTTGAGAGAGACGAAGATGGTGGCAAGGCTGGCAGAGCTGGCGATGTCGGCAAAGGTTCGGGCGACACAATGCTTGTTCCGACGCTCCTCATCACCCAAGAGAGCAGTGGGTTCGTGGGTGAGATGTGGATTCGTGGGGAGGCCGTTAAATTAGTATTTATATTAGGATTTGAGTGAATATTGATTAAACTGCCCTTTATTTATTTTTGAACATACGATTATTTTTTAATCTAATGATTATAAGGTTAATTAAAATGGTACTAACTCTTAAAGAATTAGCAATTAATCCCATTCCTCTACAATACACTAAATTCATCTATAATATATAATAAATATAATACATTTATTAACCATAATACATCCAAAAGAGTCACATTTGTATTGCAGCTTCATTAGATTTGTTGTGGAATGAGCTTGCAAGTGTATTTCCAGAGTCAGGTATTTTCAGAGCCAAAACTGACGCTATTATTATCTATTACCAAATCTACATCTACACAATAAATAAAAGCCACATGAGAAAACTTTAAGCCTCATTTCAAATTTCCTGCATCCAAAGTGAAAGAAGAAAGGGTAGATTCGTTTTCACAATCATTTATTATTTTCTTACTTACAGAAAAAGTACATCACTAATGAGATTTGAACCGTGGTCTCTTCGAACAAATATAAGAAACATAACCAATTACAATAAACACATTTGTGTAATCTTATTCAATTAAAAACACAAAGAAGCTTAAATCTGACAAATCCTAGGGCTTTTCCATCACGGTTAGCAAGAGAAATATCATTGATTCAAATATTGCATATCAAATCACACTCTTGAATGTGTAGAAGCGATGTAGAATTCTTAACATAGACTTAATTGTTATAAATATCATAAAGTAGCAATATTTTTAACACAAAACTTTTGAGTGAATATGGGGCACATGTGTCTTTAAGGGTAAATATGGAAAGGTTGAGTGATGTTGGTTTGCCGAACGCGGATGGAAAAGACACTACTAATGTAAACGGGCACAAGTAGTGCCCTGACCCACTAAACGCTCAACCATCGCCATCTTTCTAAACTTCCCATCAGACTCGACAACTAGCTAACCTCCTCTACCTCTGTTGTTATTCCAGAGCAATTTCGGAGGGATAAATATCGAAAGATTGAGTGTTGTAGGTTTCTCCAACGCGGATGGAAAAGACGCTACTAATGTAAACAAGCCCAAATGATGTCTGGCCGACTAAACGCTCAACCACCCGAGTTACTTCCGCTACACCTAATATAATAGTGAAATGGGAAATGTGTTTCCCCCATTACAAAATCCTTGCATCCAATGTAAAAGCAGGAAAGGTAGATTCGTCTTCACTGTCATTTATTATTTTCTTATTTACAGGAAAAATACATAAGTGATGGGATTTGAATTGTGATCTCTTTGAGAAAAGACAAGAAACATAACCCGTTTCACTAAACAAATTTGTTTACAATTTTTAAATGAAAAACATACAGAACGGTTAAATCTGAAAAATCATAGGAATTTTTCATCACAGTTAGCTAAGCCACTAACTCTCCCCTAAATATTTTTTTTTCAGTATTTGATACTTCTTTTTGCATACTTTGATTATTTTAATTCGAGTTTAATAATGAATTCTATTTCTATTTATCTTATAAAAGGAGAATAATTTTAAAAACACAAGCTTAATGTCATTGGTGCAAATATTACACATCGAATTGCAGTATTGAATGTGTAGAAGCGATGCAGAATTCTTGACATAGACTTAAATAATATAACTACCATAAAGAAAAAATATTTTTGAACATAGAAGTTTTTAGTGAATATGGGCACATGTGTCTTTAAGAGAGGTAATATGGAAAGGTTGAGTGATGTTGGTTTGCCAAATGCGGATTGAAAAGATAATACTAATGTAAACGGGCCCAAATAGTGCCTCAATCCACTAAACGCTCAACCATCACCGTCTCTCTAAACTTCCCATCAGACTCAACAACTGGCTAACCTCCTCTGCCTCTATTGTTACACTAGAGCAATTTTCGGAGGGGTAAATATGGAAAGATTGAGAGTTGTTGGTTTGCCCAACGCGGATGGAAAATGCTCTACTAACGTAAATATGCCCAAATAGTGTTTGACCGACTAAACGCTCAATCACCCGGGTTACTTTTGCTACACTTAATATAATAGTGAAATTGGAAACGTGTCTCCCCTATTACAAAATCCTTGCATCGATAGCAAAAGTAGGAAAGGGTAGATTCGTCTTCACTATCATTTATTATTTTCTTATTTACAGGAAAAATACATAAGTGATGGAATTTGAATTGTGATCTCTTTGAGAAAAAACAAGAAACATAACCAATTAAACTAAACAAATTTGGTTAAACTTTGTAAATTAAGAACATACATGAAGTTTAAATCTGAAAAATCTTAGGAATTTTCCATCACATTTAGCTAAGCTACTAACTCTCCCCTAAATATTTGTTTGGCATTTGATACTTGTATTTTCATACTTTAATTATTTTAATTTGAGTTTAATAATGAATTATATTTCTATTTATCTTATAAAAGGATAATAATTTTAAAATCGCAAACCTAATGTCATTGGTGCAAATATTACACATCGAATTGAAGTATTGAAAGTGTAGCAGCGATGCAGAGTTCTTGACATAGACTTAAATAATATAACTACCATAAAGCAACAATACTTTTATACATAGAAGTTTTGAGTGAATATGGGGCACATGTGTCTTTAAGAGAGGGGTAAAATATGGAAAGGTTGAGTGATGTTGGTTTGTCGAATGCGGATTGAAAAGGCGCAAATAATGTAAACGAGTCTAAATAATGTCCCGACCTACTAAACACTCAACCATCGTCGTCTCTCCAAACCTTCCCACCGGACTCGACAACCACCTAACCCCTCCACCTATATTGTTATTTGTTACGTAATGCACTTTTTGTAGGGGTAAATATGGAAAGGTTGAGTGTTCTTGCTTGGAGAGTTGACTGGTGGGTTATGTAGGTTCTTTGACAGTAATGTGTGATATCTTAACATCAATTCATTTGGTTGATCTTCTAGGTTGACTTTTGAGTTGATTAAAGATAAACAATGTCCCAGGCTCCCGGCCTACTAAATGCTCAACCTTCGCCGTCTCTGAACCTTCCCACCGGACTCGATAACCGCCTACCTCCTCCACCTATATTGTTACGCAAAGCAATTTTTGAAGGGGTAAATATGGAAAGTTTGAGTGTTCTTGCTTAGAGAGATGACTGATGGGTTATTTAGTTTCTTTGACAGTAATGTTTGATCACTTAACATCAGTTCATTTTGTTCATCTTCTAGGTTGACTTTTGAGTTGATTAAAGATAAATAACTATACTTTTTGTTGCTTTTGTTATGATACTCCTTTTCAGTATCATCATTTTTCTGATTTGAAATGTTTTTGTGGCTACTTTCCAATAAACAAAGACTATTCTTATTAGTGTTAGCATATGGAATAGCTTCAATGATACCACTTTTCCCAAAATTTATATGGAAGAGAAGAGATTAGTGCCGAATTGAACTATTCAAACTATAATGTTGATCTTGAACAAATAAAACACGGTTTCTTTTGAGTGAAAGAACCTCATCATTGCATATAAGTTTTTACAATATGATGTTTTGTGATAGTGGTCAGGTCACTTGCTTCCAGATTTAAAAGTGAGGTTCTAATTACTACAATATAAAAGGTACGAGTGATAGCGGTAATTGGAGCAGATACAAGATGGTTTGATATCCTTCTCTCTACAAGGAATAAATACATGGTGAGCATATGTTGCATGGGAAGGACAAACCAAACTCTATGTATTTGTAGCATAGCATATTGATATATACACGTGTCTAGACCCAATCGATTGGACATCTCCACCTCAAATTTATTGACGAGATTTTTGCTCATCATAACGCGTGCCAAGTAAGCTCCCTCCTTAATCCTTATAAGAAACATGTACAAAATTGTAATTTGGGTGCTTCATTAGTTTTGTTTCCATAAGATTGTATTATTTGCGGTGGTTGTCCTAGAATTGTGAATCGTGATTGTATCTCCTCTAAGAAATTGTCAAGTTAAGCTATAAAAGAGGCTAACATGAGCTTCCTCTTTAAGTTAGATGGTAAGAGAGCAATGACCCACGTCAAATCGATTGGGGGTTGACAATTCCTGAGAAACTGTTTAGCCTTCTTCAGAGTATCACAAGATCCTGATAGTATCTCAACCAAAGCAATTTTTGTTTTCTTGTCTGATGTTATTACAAGTTGTTTACCTAGAGGAGATCCCCAACAAGTTAGCTTTTGGAATTGCGATGCGAAAATGGGTAAGGCAGAAATGGTTTATACAAAAGGCCATACTATGATCATATAGAATGCGTTTGTGGAGATAGTCATCCATCACATTTTATTGACGAAGCCACCGACGAGAATAGAGGAATCACCATTGCTACTCTAAATTTTACAAAGCTACTATAATGATCATTCCTTTCAAATTATGTAAATTTATATTATAAATGAAGTGATATTACCCCAAGTCATAAATTGATGTAAGGAATGGTCGTTTGAATTAATGTGCACTGATGCAAAATGTCATGTAGCTGCCACGAAGAAGGAATAAGAGTGTACCAATTAGTGTGTTTGCTGTCGAGAAGGATAAGAATCATGATAATGGGGATGGTTCATGACGATTGATTCATACAGATTGAAGAGATAGAAAGTACAAAGTTGTAAGTCATTTGTGTGTTTAGTGTAGCAGAGTGGTTAAGAGTGATTTGGTAGGATTTCACAGAGGTAGGGATATTGACAAAAGTTATTATGTGTTGGTGATCCAGGGATATACTGTTTGCCTGTTTCTTTTGTTTGTTATATGAGATTTCTACAACAGAATGCATGCTTTGCATTTCTTTTTTTTCCTGTCATTTTAATTAACAAAACTATTTATAAAAAAAAACTGGCTGACGCATTCCATCGACTTGATTTGGACATTACTGGTTTTTGTTTTCTCAGCCAGGGATTCATCGCCTTTGGTGTCACTGTGATTTTTGGTCTAAGGCAATCCATATTGGGGGTTTCTTATGAAATCTCTTGGTGGCTTCCATTTTTACCATCGATAATTGGAGCCATGTAATGTAAGCATTCCTTAGGTTTTTTCATGTACACTTTAGGGGCATCATGGTGCATGACAATAGTGGCTATATTTAAGACTAATGGCTTGGTTTGGATTGTCCATTATAGTGTTTATGTTTTCCTGTTTCTTTTGTAATGCAATGGGATAATGACTTTCCATCATATTGTTATATATCCTACCTCCGGACATCCCCGCATACATGTTAACAAGTAATATCAGTTAAAATCAAAGAGTCAATTTTCGAGACTACATGTTATATACCCAAACTAAATGGTTGTTTATTGGTATGATCCATAAGTGATATTACCAAATATGAATTTGAATGTTTTGTAAGAGCATCCACATCAATGCATTTGCAAGTTCATATTAAATTTTTTCCCACCTTAATACTTTTGCAATCCAACTCATATAAATGTCATTGCACCTACATCAATGCAATCCACTTGCCATTGCATATGTAATTAAAAATTATGTTTAAATTATATAAAATAAAGGAAAAGAGAAAAGAAAATAGTATAAAATAAAAAAATTCTCCATTTTTAGGCATTTTATACTTGCATTTGTTGCAAACTTGCAAATATGCAATTTGTAGTCATATCAATGCAATTGTAAACACACATGACAAGTCATCTTGCAATTGAGAATGCAATATCAATGTGGTATGTGATCCTCTAAGTGTTTTTTTTTAAAGAACAAATCAATTTTATTTATCGAGAAACTAGGGCTTTTTTTTGTTTGTTTGTTTATTTATGATGAGCATCTACATTTATATGGCAGTTTGAGAATTAAAAAAAAATAATTAAGGCTTAATTGAAAAAAGAAGACAATAACCTATTGTTTGGAGAATAGAGACTCTCTCATTTAGTATTTATAAAAAAACATGTTTGTGATATTTGGAAAATGATAGCTACCAAATATTGGATCATCATGAAAATAAATTATATTCATAAGTTGGGATTAATATTAATACACGTTTAGGGGAGGGTGATTAATTTGAATACGCTGAGTCGCTGACGGTCGGTCTAGCTCGGTTGTGATTGGAAACTCTTGTTTGTCTCGACCTATAATTAACTTACTTCCATCGCCCCCTAATTAACAAATACTCCATTCATTTATCACAAATACTGCAATTGGAAAACGTTGCGTTTGTCATCCTAATTATTATTATTATGATGATGATGTTAAAAGAAGGTTGAGTTGATGAAAGGGTTTCTTAGTTAACGCCATTATTAGAAGGGAACTCATGTTCTGACTTTTTCGCCTAATTAATAATCTAGCTGGCTTCATATCTGCATCATGGTCATGAGAAGAAGATAGACATTGAAAATCCGTACCGTTCCGGGTTTCAGTTCTCTCTCTCGTCACTGGGGAAACTTTACCTAACCGGAAACGGCGTTGACAAACATTATTTGTACTTTTGTTTTGTACTGCTCCAGTCTTACGTACAGATGGATTCTTGATTTCTTGTTGTTATCTTTCAGCATCTGCCATAGCATCTACACGATACTCACGCTAAGCTAGCTATACCTGTAATTAAGAAATTAACATGCTAATTAGCTAAGTTAATTTTAGATATTTGATTTCTCATGCTTTATGGGGGTAAGGAAATAGTAAAAGAAAATCATGCACATATGTTTAGACATTAAAGCTACTAAGATGAAGTAATACTTGATATGATAGTATGTGAATTTTGTGTCTTGGTTTTTAATTAATTAAAAAAATGATACGATATATTCAATATCTAAGCTGATGGACTTCCATCCAAGCAACCTCTAAAGTCATATAATGGTTAATTGGCAACTCGATATTTCAACAAACCCTTATCGCACTCAAAATCTTATCAAATAGTACCACATCATAAGATATCACTATACACAGGAGATGACATTCTCATTACTACTAACTGAAAGATGTATTTGAGCAAAGTATATTTGTGGTAAAATCTGTGTTTACCTCGTTGAGATTCTAGAGTACAATTATATACATACAAGTGAGGATTTCTAGCAACTAACACAGCTCACGTTCCACCAAGATAGGAACGGCAGAGTGAGGGAGAGAGAATAATAAAAATACATTTTATGATTAATTTCTAATACGCCCCCGCAAGACGGAGGAGGTATCAACGACGCCGATCTTGGATTGTAGAAGCAGAAAACGTGTGGACGGAAGAGGCTTGGTGAGTGCATCGGCAAGCTGTTGGGCAGTGGGAGCGTAAGAGACACGGAGTCGACCAACCTGTACAAAATGAAGAACAAAGTGATAATCGAGGGCCAGGTGCTTCATACGAGAGTGAAAGACAGGGTTGGCACAAAAGTAGGTGGCTCCAAGATTATCAGAGTAAAGAGTAGGAGCGAAGGAGATGGGATGACGGAGCTCGTGGAGAAGATTCTGAATCCATTCGACTTCAGCCGTGGCATGAGCTATGGCACGATATTCGGCTTCAGTGCTAGAGCGAGCGACCGTCCGCTATTTTTTAGACCTCCAGGAGATGAGAGTGGAACCAAGGTAGACAAGATAGCCAGAAGTAGACGAGCGATCATCAATGTTCCCCGCCCAATCGAAATCAGCAAAGGCAGAGAGTGAGAGCGAGCGATGGAGAGACCAAAGGTGAGAGTACCTGAGACATAACGAAGCAGACGCTTGACACTGCCAATGATAAGTTGTAGGAGTGTGCATATACTGGGAGAGTTGTTGACGGAGTAGGCAATATCAGGACGAGTATAAACAAGATAACGTAGAGCCCCCAGAGCCTAGCGGTAACGAGTAGCATCAGTAGGAGAGCTTACATCCTGCAGAGTTAGAGTAATCGAGGGAGGTAGGGGGTATCGACGGCCTTCATGTTAGTGAGCTGAAAGCGGTGCAGAAGATCAACCATATACTTGTGTTGAGAGAGAATGTAACCCAAGGACGTGGGGACAATCTCAATGCCTAGAAAATAATTGACGTCACCAAGAGCCTTGAGAGAGAACTGTTGAGAGAGAGCAGTCTGGAGGGAGTCAAGGACGGCAGGTACATTTCCGGTGAGGAGGAGATCATCAACATAGACCAAAAAGTAGATAAGCGTACTCCCGCTGGAATAAACAAAGAGAGAAGCATCATACTTTGTTTTGGTGAAGCCGAACTTGACGAGAAAATCGGTCAAAGCAGTATACCAATCTTGAGGAGCCTGACGGAGACCATAAATAGCACGGTGGAGACGGCTAACATGTGTAGGACGAGCCGGATCAACAAAGCCTGGTGGTTGAGCCATATAAACTTCCTCCTCTAGAGGAGCCTGGAGAAAGGCATTATTGACATCAAACTGAACAATAGGCAAATTATGAGAGAGAGCCAATGTGAAGACAGTGCGGACATTGACAAGCTTGACAACCGGACTAAATGTAACACGAAAATCTACCCCAGGGCATTGATGAAACCCCTTGGCCACTAAGTGAGTTTTATAATGCTCAATGGCACCATAAGAATGATGCTTAACACGGAAGACCTAGCGGTTTCCAAGAACATTATAGTGAGGAAGTCGAGGTACCAAATCCCAAGTAGAGTTAGCCAAAAGAGCCTGATTTTCAGTGGACAGAGCATCCCGCCAAACACTGTAGCGCATGGCCTCCTTTACGAACTTAGGCTGGAGAGGAGGCGACATAGGTAGTAAGGGAGTGTGAAATAATTTATTGGGCTTGAAAATTCCCTCTGGAGCCCGCGTCCTCATTGGATGAGTGCGGACAGGGGGAGGTGGCGGGTCAGGAGTGTACGTGGGCACCGGACCGTGCCACCCACGGGCTAGCACGACACGAGCACGGGCACGAAATAAATGGGCCAGTGCGGCACGAGCACGAATAATTTATGGGCCGTGCCGGGCCTAAACTTCATGGGCACGGGTACGAGCACGGGCACGGCACGGTATATGAGTGAGCCGTGTTGGTACTAATATTTTCGAGACTTTATTGAGTATAAGAACGGACATGGCACGAAAATAATATTTATTTGATAGAAAATAAATATAGAAAGAATTATAGGTTCAAATATTACAAAACACAAGTAGAAAAATAATTATTTGTTGTTGTTAGAAGTGTCATAAAGATATATACGTAATTACTAACATAAGTAAAAATGGACAAAGAATTAAACAAAGGCAAATCACACTCGCTATACTTCCAATTTTCTTTACCCCCTATTTGTTACTTTTCTCAAACATTATCGGTTAATACTATCTTCCTCCGTCCAATTTTCACCTTCTTTTTCATTCTCTCTTTTGTTTTCGTCATTTTCACTAAACACGAATACGAGCATGACACGAGCACGAATAGGCATGACACGATTCAAACCGTGCCCGGGTCTGGGCGGGCCTAGCAAAGTTAACAAATGGGCTTGCATGGCACGACATGAAAACTGACGGACCGTGCCAAACATAGGACGAAATAAATGGGCTCAAAGCGTGCCCGTGCCGTGCCGGCCCAAGCACGGCCCAGCGCCCATGTACAGTCTGGAGGAGCCGGAATCCCAGATGGGGCATCGAAGGGGGATGAGGCCCAGATGATGAACTGTATGTGAGAATGCGGATGGGAGGAGAAAAATTATATAACCAAGACGCAGGCTGTGGTAGCTCATCGTAGGAGTAGTGTGGAAATCTGGAAAAGTATCCTGAACAAAAATGACATGACGAGAGAAGAAAATACGGTGAGTATGGGAGTCAAAGCACCGATAAGCGCTTCGTTGAGGACAATACCCAAGAATAATACATGGAAGAGAGCGAGGATCAAGTTGTGGGAGGAATAGGGACGAAGCCAAGGATAATAGAGACAACCAAAAATGCGGAGTTTATAATAGTTGGGAGACAAATTGAAGAGAAGGGTGTAAGGAATTTTACCACGTAAGGCAGAAGAGGGAAGACGATTAATAAGATAAACGGCTGTGGATAACGCAAAGGACCAAAAAGAGGTGGGAAAATGAGCATGGTGAAGAAGAGTTATACCAATTTCGACCAAATGACGATGTTTATGCTCTGCAAGACCGTTATGTTCAGGAGTGTGAGGAGGGGTGAGGAGATGAGTGATGCCATTGTTAAGAAGATCGGACCGTAATTATTGAAATTCTCCACCACCATCTGTGTATAAGCGATGAATGGTGGTTGAAAAATAATTTTCAACCATTTTCCTGAAATCGAGAAAAACTTGGAGAACATTGGATTTACGACGTAAAGGATAATACCAAGTATATCTAGTAAAATGGTCAATGATAATCAAATAATAACAATAGCCATCAATGGATGCCAATGAGAATTTCATTGGGCCCTGTGTAATCAGAATAGAGAGATAATGAGCCCAAATAAGGAGTTACGTGATGAGAGGCAACAGTGTCCATAAGACAAAGGCCCGGCTGAATTAGAGGAGCCCATATTAAAGATTGTATGATTGGCTTGGGCCAGACGGGCCTGAGGGAAGAGCTTAAAACATTGGCGGACTGAGTGGCCTGCCCGCTCACAACACTGACAAATAACCGTGGGCTTTCTTCGGCGAGTGGGGTCTGAGAATTGCAGTGGGCCTGGGGAAGAGATGGCCGCTCGTCCTTGTGGATCAAAGCCCATAGCTGGGGTCTGCTGGTGACGCATAGGGATGTTGTGGGATGAGCTGTCGTCGCCACCACTGAAAAATGAGGAGCCGCTGCGAGATGTGCCACCCCCGATAGAGGAGTGCTGATTGCCACGGCAAGGACCCTGAGTATAGAAAGCAATGCGAGTAGCGGTGACCCGCCACTGCTCTTTCAAGTCCTGCTCATATTCAATTAAAGCATCCAACAAATTTTCAATTGTGATAGCAGTTCCTCTAGCACGCACAACGACAATAAATTGATTATAATCCAGACCGAGGCCACGAAGAGTGTGTACCACAAGATCCAGATCTGATACAGGAGCATCAACAAGAGCCAGCTCTGCTGCGATGAGCTTCATATCAATAACATAGGTGAGAACATCTTGATCACCTCTGTAAGTTTTGGTCAGTTTGCCTTTCAAATTAATCAAACGTGACTGGAAGCGACTCGCGTAGAGCTTTTCTAGGATTAACCAAGCATCTCGTGATATTAATGCAGCCGAGACATATGAATACAAAGATTCAAAAATAGAGCAACGAAGGGCATGGAGTATAAGCTTATCTTGCCGGTACCTACGACGATACGCTGGATTTAGAGTCGGCTTGCCATCGACTGTGATTGTTTGAGGAGGAGTCTCGCCGGTGCCATCGATGAAATGAATAAGTTCCAAAACCATCAGGAGGGTTTCCAATTGAGATCGCCAGGAGTGGAAATTGGTGGGAGTCAGCTTGACCGGCAACTGGGCGGCGGGATTGAAAGTGATGATAGACTCTTCGGAGACTGTCGCGTTGACAGCGGTGGAAACAATGTCGTCCGCCATTAGAAAGATCAGGTGTCACAACGTGAATTTGAAAGGGAAGAGAGGAAGGTCGGATGGATCAAGCCCAACTGAGCGTTGCTGGCTCTGATACCATGAAAGAGGTATTTGAGCAAAGTATATTTGTGGTAAAATCTGTGTTTATCTCATTGAGATTCTATAGTACAATTATATACATACAAGTGAGGATTTCTAGCAACTAACGCAACCCACGTTCCACCGAGATAAGAACGGCAGAGTGAGGGAGAGAAAGAATAATAAGAATACATTTTATGATTTATTTCTAATACGAACTAAGTTATCACACAAGTTCTAACTAATGGAAATTAGTAGTTAAAATTTAGTTATTGTGCTAGATAAACGGGAATTCGTTAACTAAGCTCGAAGTTTCTTTTTGGTGCTTAAGTCAATGAAGCATTCGATTAATATGTGATTTTTCAAGTATCAAATATTTGGATATACTAACTAACATATATATTTATCTCAATAACTATTTTAATTAATATGCTTAATTAATTAGTATTGGAATCAAAGGTAGTACTAACTATTGTAAATCTAAGTTTATGGACAGAATAGTAGTTGACACTGAAAAAGAAAGTCGACTAACGAAGGAGATAAGAGTTATGATAAGAGGAATAGATATTCACCAAATCCAGATGGGGCAAAGTCTCAATCAGCCGTTTTTCGTGTTGAAATTAATCAAATGAGAAAATAGTGGTAATGTTAGTTGGGTATTAAAATTTTCTTTTTATGGAAAATAGCCAATCAGCCGAAAAATTAAATCCAGAGATCGAATAATGTAGGTACGTTTGATAGCCTAGTAAGTTATTAGTTGCTTAAAAATATCTTGTAATTGTATATTAGTTTTCAAGCTAGTGGGTATAACTTATAAACAACATGCTAACCACCGCTTAATTAACTAATGACATTGCTGATTAAGCACCAACGCAGTGCAATTAAGTTGAACTCTTCTTCCCCCAGAGAGATCTAGTGTATGTGTGTTTAACTGTAGGATATCAATCAACATCCCAACTGAAATAGTCTCCTCCCATCATCTTTCATATAATGAATTCGACGCAATCGAATGTCTTAATATATCTTTTATTTTATTTCAATTCTAAGTTTTATTTGTATAATTTAGCATCAGAAAATGGAAAAGATCACATAAAAAATGAATCTAACCGGACCAATCAAATTTGTATTTCATCTTATATTGATACACTCGCTGCCTCTTTCCTTTCATTAGGAGGATTGTACTAAATATTAACCAAATACGAGATTAACTAGTGTTTGAGTCTAGCTCGTCTCGACGATGCATATTGGTTTGATCGGGTCGGTTTTGGGAGCAATCACTTTCCCAACTATCTTATCATGTTCATATGATCACCTAAATGATAAGAATTAACTAATGGTGAAACAATTTTGTGGAGAAATTGATTAGGTGCTTCGTACGTAAAGTTAAAAAAAATTAGAAAATTTAATTCATTATTGCTATACATAAACACTTAATATAAATAACGGAACCACTACTACTTTGCTAAAACATTACAACACTGGAAACACTTCCACAGGAATTAGAAAACAGTGTAAATGACAATTACTACTATGAGCAGAAAAGATCGCTACTAAAAAAACACTGCTACATCCAAAAATCCCGCGATCTCCTCGCCTGCACAATCACATTACTGCAAATCTATATTGATCTCCATGTCTGCACGTTAATCCTCCTTGGGAGTTCACAAGGTTAGGAAATGTTTTTAGGTCTAGTAACACTAACGAATGTTTTTTAGTTAGGGCAAGAGAAAATCATATGTGAATTAGCGGTAAAGTGACCGACCAATCAGAGT